ATGCAGAACATCCGGCATAAAGCACTGTTCATGACCTAGTCATGATCACAGTCAAAATACTCGAAATCACGTTCTAAATATAATTATGGAATTTAAATCCTTAAATTAAATCTCTAATTAAGATTTACTAGTTGGGTTCATTATATTCATAAACCATACTAATTCATCATCAATTTCAAATTTCCAACTCAATAATTTTTCACCAAAAATGCTCATAATATTCAAAACTTAAATCATGACATTTAAACCATTGGAATGAGAATCTCCTACCTCAATTCACCTATACAAGGCTTGGAGAACAAAATCCAAGCTTGGTTCCACCCAAAAACACAATCTCTCTAGGATGAATAGTGACCCGAAATTTGAGAAGAAGAGAACTCTTCATGTAACAGCCCGTTACGTACCGGTAATGTTATCATTTCATATGGTATTAAGCGCAGTTACAATCACAGTAATTGAGTTAATTAAATTACGGGTAACTTTTTCCTTTTATTAAATCCTCTTTGTTAAACATTAACCATTTTCGTAAATAATTAAAACAACACCATAATTGTAAATGCAATACTCGCGGAAGCATAAAACATACTAATAATCATTCCTATAAGCAATACCAATTATTTTAGGTTTTAGAAAAACACATTGTCAAAAATTACACAGTGGTAATCGATTACCATGCTTGAGGTAATCGATTACCAAAGGTTCCAGAATGAGGCAGTAGCTAATTTTGGGCTCCCCTGTTTTGGGTAATCGATTACCTTGACATAGGTAATCGATTACTGAACTAGGTAATCGATTACCCATGCAAAAGTAATTGATTACTTTGATCACAGTGGCTCAATTTTGCGTTCCCTGTTTCAGGTAATCGATTACCAATGAAAAGTAATCAATTACCCTTCTATAAAAATGACAAATGACAACTTTAAAAACACAAAATGAGTGATGTAACTTACTCCTAACACCTTAATACTTAATATACATCTTACACAAGTACTAATGTAGGCTCTAGGCCCTTCCATCATGCATATTCCTTACCTTTGTATCATTTTACATCATTCACCATATCCTTTGCCATTTGCACATCATATGGCTCATGTTACATCCCAAGTAACCAAATGCCTCTAAATGCAAAACATGTGGCCATGGACAAGTCCCATGCTCACCAGTAAGTCATTGTAAACAACATGCATGAAATGTAAAGCAATTACAAAAGACTTAGAATTTAATCATGAACACAACAAAAGCATGGAATCTCAACATGCAATATGTTCATGATCTAAGTCCAAAATGCTAATTATAATACTATGTGCATCAAATATGCTCCTCCAAAATGCCATGCTCTCCATATGCACATCATGCTAGAATCCTTCACTAAGCGGGCCTCTTGCCCGAAGCTCCTCCATGCTCACTATAGCCTGAAATGATGTCCCCAAACGCGGGGTGAGATATACAAATATATCTCAGTAAACCAAGGGTACTAGAGGATCACTCCACCCCATGGCTCACTCAATGTGCAACAATAACATTATGTAAAAATGCATAGGCATACAAAATCACAAATAACTGGGCACAAATCCAAGAACATCCACATAAGGATTCCGTTCAAGGACCCCATCATATAACTCCCAGGAAGCTTCCTGGTGCCTCTCCCATGGATGAGACGACCCCATGGCAAAACCCAACTAGAACTCTTCAAGAGCCCTATCTAGCGGAAGTCCCACGTTTGGATCATCCTGGTGCCGCTCCCAGAGTCGGCCCCACGACAAAGCTCGACCGAAATCCCCAAAGGATATCTCCAACGAAAGTCCAAACCACACACATCTACTGGCCAGAGATCACAAAATTTCACACACAACATGCTCCAAGCATGTCACACAATCAAGCAATAATGCATGAACATACATATTCACACAATGCCAAAAGCACATAATCCAACCACAACCTTCCACTAGGTGTGGTGGAGCACACAAGGGACTAAACCCAAGTTCCAAAGGTTTACCTCAACTCCGAAGACAAGGCTCCAAAATGTAAGCTCCAAGCTTAGTCTGTTTCTATCGCGTCCGTGAGAGGCAACCTATATGATCAACAATAATGACCATTAATCAATTGCAAACAATTCATCAATTTCACAAGACTTATCACCAATTTTAGCCATTTAGGCCTAATGGCCCTTTCCCATTTAATTCAATTATCTTAACTACTTGAATCATCAAACTAATTCACCAACCCACCAATTATACACTAAATCATCAACCATTGCCTAAACCATATTTTCACATCATTTTTCCTCCAACCACATCATGGTTCGAAATTCTCAAGAGGCATAACCCAAGACTTTCAATTCAATTAAACACTAACGCATATAATGCAATCCTATTATTAATTCATATCAATGCTCCATAATTCAATTATACAATCCCACAACCATGTTATTTCACAAATCATCAATATCAACTCCAATTTTCACTAAGTTATAATTTTCCAAGTCACAATAATTTTTATTGCATCAATCATCATCATTTATCATTCTAAGCATTTAATTCCAAAGGAGACATACCATTTCATGCTCCTAACTACCATAACTCAACTTACAACTTCAAAACCCTCATCAATTTTACGATCTCCATGAAAACTCTAAGAGAATGGGAAAACTTACCACCAATAGCCTCCAATGGTCCAAGGGAGTGATCTCCAACCAATGGTTCAACCCAAAAATCCTCCAAAAAGTCAATATTTTCGTGGCTATTTTAGGGGGTTTTCTCCCTCCACAATGCTCCCCACAAGATGCACTCTACATGAAAGTCATACACAAGAGTGTGGGGAACAACTTTGTAGTTGGAAGTTTCTCCTAAATATGACTAGAAAAGGAGATGGAATTTCAAAAGCTCAAGGTCACCTCCATGGACAAGGAGCTCGACGGTTTCAAGAAGAAGAGAAGAGAGAAAATGGCTGATTTCTTGACTTTGGTGACCTTAAATCACTTAAGCCATTTAAAGTGGGTCCCACATGTCACTTAACCCACAAATTCATAACCTACGTATTTTTCTCGTTCGTGCCATATTTTTACTTCCTAAAAATTCTGATAATATTTTCACGCTTATCGGTACAATTATACCGTAGTATTTTACATTGGAAAAATCACTATTCATCAAATTTTTCGAAACTTGCCTATCCACTCGATTTTTTGTCCTGAATCCATTTCCGACATTATTTTTATCATTTGAGACCTTCTACTCAATTTTCATTCCTAGGGATACATGTTTGGTAAATTATCATTTTGCCCTTTTCACGTATTTTAGCCCTAATTTTTCGGATTTTCACTAATCCTACCCCTTTAACCAACATTATCACATATAATCATGCATTTAGAAATATGAGGGGTTATACTTCACACAAGCCCTTTCAGCCCAAACAAATAGGTGGAATGGATTCACAATGATCTCTACTTAAAGTTTCATTTGCGGCACTTTGTCTTTTGGTGATTATTTGAGTGAGAAATCAAAGGATAAAGAAAGCTTGAAGCCAAACTTCCATGGAGGAGGGTACTGCCAGGAGAGAGAGAAGAGGTGGGTGCTGATGTGAATAGTAACCGTAGGAAGAAAACTTAAGTTTATAATGATATGTAATCTTTTACCGGTTGTTTTTCTCTCACTTACTTTCACTTAAATTGACTCGACACTAACTTAAAGCTACAGACATATTTTATTGTTCTAAACTCATTTACATTAATTTTCATTTCTCAAGGAGCAATATTAACAATTTACAGTAGGGTTTCTGCACCATTTTTGACGAAGTGCATTGTGAATCACTTACTGTGCATTGTTTACACATGAAGCTGTAAAACTTATAAACTTAACATTTTTGGTCTAGACATGACTTGTTTGGCATATATTAGACTTTCTTATTCTTATTTTAATAATTATTTAGTTCTGGACTCTACTAGTTGCTTAAACAGCGGTACAAGACAACCGGCAGAAACACTATTCACGAGATTTTTATGGAAAGTGCCAGACTATACAATTTTTCATTCTGAACACATATCTGGCATCAGAATTGCCAAATTAGGTCTCTAAACTCATTTTGCTCATTTATAAGCTCTACCGGTTGATTCACAACAATGCAGAACATCCGGCAGAAGGTACTGTTTATGGCCTATTCATGATTACAGTCAAAATACTCAAAATCACGTTCTGAATCTAATTATGACATTTAAATCCTTAAATTAAATCTGTAATTAAGATTTACCATATATGGTTATTATAAGAAAAAACACGAAGCCCAAATTAATCTCGGTGATAAAAAAAACGTCGCCTTATGATCCCTCTGAAATTCCAGTTCTTTAAAATTGTGGTTCCTCAGAAATTCAAATAAGACCCTCATTAATCCCTTAAAAAAGACTAGCATGGATACTTTTTTTTCTAAAGAATTAAAATAGATTTCGTATTTTTTGTTGAAGACTCAAAAATGTATTTACTCTGATTATTATTATAGGTATACTTTTGGTCATACTCACTTCTGTCACGATTCATTTTCTTCTGAAAAGAAAGATATGATATAATAAATTATGATAGTTTCGTTGAGGTAGACCCTTTCTTCACGAGATAAACATACTTGTTTCTATATATTATCTTGTGATAATTCATGAAGTACGTAAGGACAAAGAAAGAAGAAAATGCGCTGCTTAGATTAGATTTTATAGTTTACGATATTTCTTCTTCTACATCCTTTCTTCTACTATTAATTACCTTCTAATAGACCAAAAGATAGGAATTGAGGTTGTTGGAATGTTGATCAGTTTGACAATTATATAACAACTGGAACAAACTGTTTTCACACCATCAAACATAAAACACACCCGTAGAGGTTTTCTGCGGTGCAATGAAATAAGAAGGAAAGTGTACACTTATTCACGTTCACACCAATCACAATGCACACTTATTCATGTTCATCACTCCACTTGCCTAATCTATAGTAATTGCAGCACTCGTGATACAAATTTATTGTCAGTGAGTCTCTATTGATCTGCCTTTGAAAAAAGCATTTTTGATTACATTTAGTTCCCTTGTGACATCCCTCATATTCATTCTTTCTTTTGGTGACTCTGCAGAACAAGCAAGTCCAATGCTAAACAGTTCAAGTAAGCACTTCTTGAAATCATTGGGATGCATCTGACTCTGGTTCTGATTACTAATATTGTTTTCTTCTTCTGCTGATACAAATTCTTTTTTCAATTCTCTTGGGAGAATGGCTGAGTCCACTATCTGTAGGAGTTTATCTGGCAAGGAAACTTTGACAAAAGTATGGAGATTGATACCATTTATAAACATTTCATCTGTGGGCTTCCTTCCAGTTAGTATTTCCAGTACAAGGATTCCAAAGCTATACATGTCACCAAGTGTTGAAACTTCACCTCCCATTCCATACTCTGAAATTTATGTTATTTAACACAATCAAAACTATCAAAGTTAAGATTAACCTTCAAAGAAATTAAAACTCATTGTTTACAACACTTTTGAACGTAAAAAATATTAAACTGTACCTGGAGGAGCATACCCAACAGTTCCCTTGATTCCAATTGTGCTTGATTGAGGATGAGAGATACCACTGATAGTAGAGAGAAGTCTTGCTAGTCCAAAATCATTCACATGAGCAACCATGTCATTATCAAGAAGGATATTGTTTGGCTTTAAATCACAGTGAACAATTGGCTGCTCACATTCATGGTGAAGATAGAATAATGCAGAACCAACATCTATGAGAATATTCAGTCTTTGAAGAAGGTCCAAACTTGGTTGATCTCCAATTTCTGACTCAGGATGCAACCATTTCTCTAAGCTTCCATTTTCCATGTACTCAAAAACTAAAGCTTTAAATTCGTTTCCATTGTAATCCATACTTGAGCAACATGTTAGAATCTTAACCAGATTTCTGTGACGGATATTTCTGAGTGCATTACATTCAGCAATGAAACTCTTCTGAGCTCCCTTCTTTTGAAGGTTCAAGACTTTAATAGCAACAACTTTTTCTTCTGACTCAAAAGTTCCTTTATACACAGAGCCAAAAGCACCAGATCCTACCAAGTTATTGGGAGAGAATCCATTTGTTGCTTGGTGGAGTGTCTGGTATGAGACCTTGGCAAGATGATCCACTGTTGTTGGGGAAGTAGATGTTCTCCAGTTTGTTCTTTTCTTCCAACAGACAACAAAAGAAGATAACAACAGTAGGAGAAAGAAAACCACAGAAATTATTATTACTATGTCCTTCCAAGCCTGATGTTTTTTGTGTGTCATAACTTTGACAGGGCATGGTGGTAGATGTAGCTCAGTGATACCACCACAAAGGTCACTGTTTCCTTTTATTGATATTGCACTTGCATTTCTAAAGACACCTTTTATTGGTACTTCACCATCCAACCTGTTGAAAGAAATATTCAAATACTGTAGAAAAGGAATACCCTCTAGACCTTCTGGAATTGATCCAGACAAGTTGTTCTGTGACAAATCTAAATATTGAAGACCTTTCAATGAAGCCAATGATGAAGGTATGGCTCCCAGGAAGGAATTCCCTTGTAAGTTAAGGTATTCCAAGGTTATGCACTCTCCAATTGTTGCAGGAATTTCACCAGACAGCACATTTTTAGAAACATCCAACTTATTGATGCTTTTCAGGTTGCCAACTTCAGAGGGTAGGCTACCATTTAATGAGTTCTGGGATAAGTTCAGTAACAATGACAAAGAGGGGAGACCAAGCACCTGCAAAGGAATAGTTCCACTAAGGTTGTTATGTGAAAGGTCTAGGTACTGTAAATATTGGCAATTCCCAATACTAGGAGGAATGCTTCCTTCCAGAATATTATTTGATAAGTCAAGTTGAGACAACTGACTAAGATTGCCAATGGATGATGGAATTTCTCCTGAAAGTTTGTTTGCATTTAAATTCAATAATTGTATCTTTTGAAACTTGCCAAAAGAAGTTGGAATGGACCCTGTGAGAAGGTTGAACTCCAGTTCGAAGCCAATCAATTCAATGAGATTTCCTAATCCTGCAGGAATAGTACCAGTAATCTGATTGCCACCAATATAAAACTGGTTCAGTTGAGTTGAAAAGTTGGCTACTGAGTTGGGTAAAGAACCACCAAAGTTGTTTACATTTAAATCTAACACTTGTAGTTTGGTGCAGTTTGTCAAAGATGTCAAGAAATCCAAGTCATTAGATGAATTACTCCCTAGATGATTGTATTCCAGAGCAATAAACCAGATGTCTTGGAGATTTCCTATTCCAATTGGAACTTGTCCTACAAAGTTATTCCTGGGGATGTTAAATAATAGCAAACGGGTTGCATTGGAGATGGAAGCTGGGATAGGACCTGAGATCTTATTCATACCAATCCCAAATTGTTGGAGATTAGGGAGTGTGAGGAACATGTTGGAAGGTAGGGAACCATTAAATTGATTCACTGCAGCTGAGAAGTAGGTGAGAGATGACATATTGTAGAGTGTAGAAGGAAGCATACCAGATAGTTTGTTGGATGCAATAGAGATATGTGTCAAGTTTTTCAGATGACTTATCTCTTCTGGTACATTTCCCTCTAAGTTATTGATCCCCAGAGAGAGAATACTAAGAGATGAAAGATTGCCTATAGAGGCAGGGATTTCACCTGTCAAATTGTTCACAGCAATATATAGCTCTTCTAGCTTAGTTAGAAAACCAAGCTCCGTAGGTATTTTGCCAACAAGTTTGTTTCCTCTTAAACTCAAACTCTTGAGTTCAGAGCAACCAGACAAGTTGGTGGGAATTTGACCCCTTAATGTGTTATTGGTGAGATACAATTGCTGCAGCCTAAACAAACGACCTATTTCCTGTGGTATTTCACCATAGAAGCTGTTGTTTTGAAGGTTGACATACCTTAAAAAGGTGAGGTTGCCAATCTCAGATGGTATCAACCCACGTAAGCCATACCCTTGTAGGTTTAGGGCAGTGACCCTTTGATGCCTGAGGCTGCATGTGACTCCATGCCAGTTGCAAAAGTAAGTTGAACTATTCCATGAAGTCAAGATACCTAATGGGTCATCTTGAACTGCTTCTTTGAATCTTAACAATGACAATTGGTCTGTGTCATTTCCTAAGGCACTAGCAGTATTATTAGGTTGCAAACATAGTAGGGTGGCAGAAAAGAGAAGAACCACATGGAGGCTTGTGGACCAGAATGCACAGGAGAAGAATGAAGAAAGATTCATTTAGTTAAGAGTTTGGAGAATCAGAAGCAGATGAGAATGTTTATGGTACAAATTTTAATGTTGAACCACTGCTGTCCAAATGAGTCTATATAAAATTGATAAGTATGAGTTGAAGTTTGTTGATGGTGTGTGTGAACATTCATATAGTGATAGAAATTACTCATATCAAAAGTATTATTAGGTTCAGATATATTCTGCTTATGTTGACATTGAAAATCCATCCTCATCTGCACGTTACCAAATATTTTTATCAGAGGCTAATGTTGTTTTCATGCATATTTTCTATGAAGGTACAGAGAGGTTTCTTGAAGTTGACTTTGCTATAAAATATTCCTTTCGTATTCTCCAAGTAGAGTTAATTATTCTATATTCTTGTTTTAAGTTACATATTCAAACATGATATATAAATTAATTAAAGTGATAAATACGTGAGACAGAAAGGGATTAGTTAAAAAAGTGATATTACTATTGATTGAAAAATAATGAGATTTAGATAGTCCCTAGAATCTTTCAATATAAATATAAATGGTAATGTGACATCTATAAGTAGCTCACGTCGTGTTTTTTTTTTTTTTTTTTTTAAATATTTCAATTGGTTCATTGCACGACAGGCAGATACAAAATTAAGGTTTTAAACCCCTCCCTAAGGTGATACTAGAAAGAATCAAACATATACTCTCACCTCTACCTGCTCAGCTCTCATATGCCACTCAGCTACCTCCATTTTATTCTATCACCTGTACCGAAAACGTTTGCAATTGGAGTAAACAACACAATAATTTGTGCATACATAAAAATTACACTATAAAATAGAAGTGTTGTGCTAACTAGAGTTAGCTTACAAAATAACAGTTAATTATTTTATCACCTGTCTACATTCACATTTACATTAGAATAATATCTATGATCCTTTATTGCACCAAAAAATATATATCTATGATCCTTTTCTATTGATATGATTAAACAAGTGATAAATTAGTTAACCAATATCAATAAGAATAGTCACTTATATAAATAATAGTTTATGTATATTTCCATCAATCAGAGTCTCACAGCATGATTATAATTCTACTCTTTTGATTAGCTCACCTAGCATGAATCTTATTATAATATTTATGAATCAGCTTTTATCTAGCCTTAAATTCATAACATTTTTTTTTTCATTTTCATTATTTTATGAACATATACGAAATCATTTTATCAAAGTCTTTAGGTACATTGACTAAGATCGCTAAGTAAGGTTTTTCGGGATGGTATCATGATATTGTGCATTGATTACCATCAGTTAAATAAAGTTACAGTTAAGAACAAATATCTTCTCCCTCGCATAGATGATTTGCTTGATTATTTGACTGGTGCTTGTGTTTTCTCAAAGATTGATTTAAGGATGGGTTATCATCAGATCTGAATTAAGTAGGAAGATGTTCCGAAAACAGCTCTCCGATCTAAATACGGACATTATGAGTACAAGGTAATTTTGTTTGGATTCACTGATGCTCCGTCTGTGTTTATGGATTATATGAATCGCATATTCAAGCCTTTTCTGGACCAATTCGTGATCGTGTTCATTGATGATATCCTGATACATTCCAAGAGTATGGAAGAACATGTAGATCACTTGAGAGCTATGTTGCAAATTCTGCAAGAGAAACAGTTGTATGCAAAGCCTTCAAAGTGTGAATTTTGGCTTTCTCAAGTGTAATTCCCAGTCACATCATTTTTCATGATGGGTGGCGGTTGATCCTAGCAAAATAGAAGGGGTTATTGATTGGGAAAAACTCAAGACCGTGACTGAAATACTGAGTTTTCTGGTTTGGCCGGTTATTACCGAAAAATTATTAAAGGGTTTTCTACAATGGTTCTACCATTGACCCGTTTAACTTGGAAAGATGCTTCATTTGTTTGGACTTATGAATACGAAGAGTGTTTCCATAACCTTAAGGAAAAATTGACGACTGCTCTTGTGTTGATCATTCTTGATCCAGAGGGAGAATTTAAAATGTACAATGATGCTTCTAAAAGGGGTTGGGTTGTGTGTTGATGCAAGAAAGAAGAGTTATGGCTTATGCATCAAAGCAGCTAAAACCACATGAAGAAAATTATCCGACTCACGACTTAGAACTTGCTGCGATTGTATTTGGGCTGAAATAGTGGAGACATTTCTTGTATGCGTGAAATTTGCCGTGTTTAGTGATCATAAGAGCTTGAAGTATCTGTTTGATCAGAAAGAATTGAACATGAGACAGTGCTGGTGGACTGAATTTCTAAAGGACTGTGACTTTGAATTGAAATATCATCCTAGAAAAGCTAATGTTGTAGATGACGCATTGAGCAGGAAATCTGTGAGTGTATCCAGTATGATGACGAGAGATTATGATGTGATTGAGAGATCCATAGATATAAAATTGTCTGAAGTATTTGCAGGTAGAATTTCTACAACCGAAACCACAAGGATTAAAAATGAGTCACTAACTAGAATTAAGGAAGCTCAAGTGCAAAATGAAAGCGTTGAGTATATGAAGGGTCAGAGTGGTATATCGTGGAATGAGTAGGGTGTATTGTTGAATCAAGGCAGGATTGTTGTTCCTAGGGGCCAGTTAGCTAAGGAGGTGATGACTGAAGCCCACAAAGGTCAGTTCACTATCCATTCGGGAGCTATGAAAATGTATCAGGACCTTAAGATGAGCTTCTGGTGGCCTGGTATGAAGAAAAATATTGCAGAATTTGTTTCCAAGTGTCTCATTTGTTAGAAGGTCAAAATTAAGCATCAAAAGCCTTTTATTTTATTACAACCTCTTATAGACAACTTAATAAGGTAACTATTAAGAACAGGTACCCTCTGCCAAAATTGATGATATCTTGGATCAACTTAGAGGTGCTTGCATATTCTCCGAGATTGACCTTCGATCCGGATATCACCAGATCTGGATTAAGCCGTAGGATTGCCTAAGATGGTTTACCGGTCTAGGTACGGACATTATGAGTACCAGATAATTCCTTTTGGACTCACTAATTCTCCGACGGTGTTCATGGACTACATGAATCACATATTCAAACCTTATCTATGTCAATTTGTTATTGAGTTTATTAATTATATATTGATATATTCCAAGAGTAAAGCATAGTATGCAGATCACTTGAGGATCGTGTTGCAAATTCTAAAGGAGAAATAGTTGTAAGCTAAGCAATCAAAATGTGATTTCTGGCTTGATGAAGTGCAATTTCTGGGTCATGTTATCTCTACTGATGGAGTAGCGGTGGATCTTAGTAAAATCGAAGTTGTTATAGATTGGGAGAGACCTAAGACTATGATTGAAATCATAAGCTTTATGGATTTAACTGGATATTTTCGGAGATTTATTATGGGGTTTTCTACAATGGTACTGCCATTGACCCATTTAACACGAAATGATATTCCTTTTGTTTGGACTCAGGAATGTGAACAATATTTCCTTAATCTGAAAGAGAAATTGACAACAACTCCAGTGCTGATTCTTCCAGATCCTGAGGGCAAATTTGAACTTTACTATGATGCTTCAAAGAAAGGGTTGGGTTGTGTTCTAATGTAGGAAAGAATAGTTGATTCTTATGCATCTAGGTAATTAAAGCCTCATAAAGAAAATTATTCGATTCATGATTTGGAGTTAATTTCTATTGTATTTGCCTTGAAGATTTGGAGGCATTTCTTGTATGGGGTGAAATTTGTTGTAGTGACCATAAAAGTTTAAAATACCTATTTAATTAGAAATAACTGAACATAAGACAAAGTGGATAAGTGGAATTCTTGAAAGGTTATGACTTTGAGCTAAAATACCATCCAGGTAAAACTAACGTGTTGGTAGATGCGTTGAGCTGAAAATCTATTAACTTGTCTTGTATGAGAATGTGGGATTATGAAGTGATTGAGCAGCTAAGAGATTTGAGGATATCTAATATCTTTGTAGGTAGATTGTCTGAGAATGAGACTACTAGAATTGAAAATAAGTTACTTGCTAAAGTTAAGGAAACTCAAGTACGAAATGAATGCGTTAAATATCTGAAGGGTTGGAGTGATATATCTTAGAATGAACAGGGTATGTTGTTGTATCAAGGCGGGATTGTTGTGCCCAGGGTGTTTGATGTGCCTCTGGCAAGTGTGGTTTTTCAAGTTAAAATTGATAAGAATTGAGTCATAAAAGAGCATATTTAAATACATATTTGCTAATTATATTGATTCTTTCTTTGTCAATAATATTTATCACCTATTGATTGTGTTTTTACAGGAAAAAGAAATAAAAATTATAAAAAGCCTGTTAACGCAATTCTAGACGGGTGTAGCACACTACAAATTCCAGAAACATGGCGCGGACCGGCACCACACTGGCGCGAACTCGCGCCAGTTTACGAACTGTGAATCGGACAATTGCAAGTGGCGCCTAGTGGCGCCAAATTGGCGCCAACTAGCGCCAAGAATTCCAAGCAAAGTGGCGCCCAAAATGAACAAAGGTGGCGCCAAAATGCCACGCCAACTAGCGCCCAAGGAGAAGAAAAGATGGTGCCATCTAGCGCCCAAGGAAGGAAGAGAATGGCGCCAAGTTGCGCCAAAATGGTGCCAACTAGCGCCAAGTTACGTGGAATTGTCCCGACTTTTGTTAATTGGACAGAGGCGCGGCGCAAACTTGCGCCAAATCGGCGCCTGCGGGAAAGGAGTACCGTGTTTTCTGAAGGGTATTTTTGGAAGAAGAAAAAGAGAATTATAAATAGGATCCTTATGACAAAATTAGGGATCCACACCTATTCTATTGAAGTGAGACGACGGTGGTGCTCCGAGAGGATTCTGGAGATCAAGTTCTTCTTCATCTTCTCTTTTATTTTATGTTTTTATTGAATATTGGATTTTTAGCCATGATTATGGTTGGCTAGTTTATTTTTATTGTAGTTAGGGTCACAAACCCTATGTGAACCCTTGTTACGACGGATTGATTTACTTTTACTCGTTTATATAAATTGTCTTTATCTCT